ATAATGTCAATATTAAAAATTTGTGCAGCTATATACTCTTTTTAAACTTAATTTGTTTCTTAAGATGATTTTTGAAAAATTATATATTTGCGCTGGTTGTGACATATGTAGACTATATATAACACTTACATCAAATTAAGGAGTAGTCTACCACGTAAGGCAGTTGGCTCACGATCTAGAGGTCCCGAGTTCGAATCCCACCAAGGTAAGTGTGTTATTTTAAATACGAGAAAATATTTATAATCATAGACTGCATCTTAAGAAACAAATTTAGTTATAAAATGGTAATAAAATTTTGAAAAAAATAATTTTTTTTTTTACGCTCATTATTACAGCTAGTATAACAGTACAGAAGTTACATGTAACACTCTGGTTGATATAACCTGTTATATTCGGTTACATTGCCGTTGCATTGCTACTATATTACTGTGTTCACTGGGTAATTTGTAGTATTGCGGAGATATTTACATGTATTTACGTATTCATTTATTAGAATTACTGCGCGTGTGACAATCAATTATTGCTCTTAAAAATAAGTGAGAATCACCATTACTAAATCTTCTCGGAAGCATGCATTGTTTTTTCTTTTTTTAATATTCTTCAATGTTTCCTCTTGTTTATTCAATGTTAATAGCGCCATCGTTGTGAAGGATCTGTTCTTTCGTGCCTGTGTATGTGCCAGCGATGAGTTACCTGAATAAATTCCGCAGGCAAATCCGAGATTGTCATATTCAAACGCGATGTAATGAGGTTTTTTTTCCCGGAAGGCTTGTTCGTTTATTAGAATAAAACAAATATATTTTCTTTCATTCTAAAGGTACAATTTCACGGAGCGAAGAAAAGCCAGCGTTTTACCCCCACTCCATCAATTTTCGTCAAGGTGGCGTTACGGCGTTGCTTAGCTAAAAAGTTCAACACGGTTGAACTTTTAGCGAAGCAACGCCGAACGCCGAAAACACAGAGAGAAATAAGTACACGTGGTGACACAGAAAGAACGAAGTTAAAAAGTTATCAGAAAGAAGTTAAATAATTATAAGTATGGCTGAAGGGACGGATAATTTTACATCGCCAGAAAATACAAACGAAGTTAGTATCTATATATTATACAGTACTAAGCATACTTATAGGTTAGGTTGCTTTTTATTTCTTATTTATTTAAGTAATATAAATTTATTTGTTATATTGTGTTAATTTGTATTTGTTATATTGTAGGAAACTCTATTGTACACCTGTGACATATGTGAAAATGTCATTCATAAAAATGAAGTAGATCTGCATTCTTGCTTTGAGGGATTTAGTCATGTTTATATAAATAACGATTTACATATTTGTAAATTCGCAGAGCCTATGGATCGGCAACGAGGAGTTCGAGGATTTGGATGAGATCATCGCTCGACATGTGAATCCCATGGCCGCTTACGCCTCCGAATTATTGGACTTCAAATACTACAAGCCCAACGTGGAGGGAATCAAAGACAAAGCAGAGGATATACTGAAGGAACAGAAGAAGGAAAATCCTGGTGGAATTCCCTACATCATATCGGCAGCTAAGGTAAGTAAACGCGTAGCTGGTTTACGCACGTAACACCAGCAATTTCCCAAAAATTTTCTTCACTTTTAATTTAAAAATAATTTCATTAATTTTTTTCCCCCCATAGACCTATCCTGGAAAGTTCCTACTCTCGTATATATCTGCCGCGTACTCGCTGTCGCCACGAGTTCGTTACAGTGACATCCGAGGGCTTCAGATTTCGAGCGCAGATGTTCGGTAGGGTGAGCGATCTACTACGCTGGTTCAAGAAACACTTTAGGGATCCCGTCCCTGGACAATCCACTCCGAGTACACCACGCGGCGCGATGACTTCTAGGACACCTTACACTACTACGCCAGGAACAGTTAGCGGTAAGTCTGTCTATATCATCACCGCGAACTGTCAGTCATCATAATTTTTATATGAAAGTAATTCCTGGAATCTTAGTATAGGTTAAAATATATTTTACTAGGAAAAAATATTGTATTTCAAGATAAAATCATTCTACATATATATATATTCTGTGTTAACAACTACAATTTTTCGCTAAAATGAAATGAAACGCACAAGTAAGAGCACAAGGACTGCAAATGTATTAATTGCTATTATTTCGATCGATATTGTTTCAGGAATGAATCAAGAAGCAATACAGCGAGTTGCACAGAACCTCCCACATCACATGTTGCACTCGCTATCGCAAGTGGCGAATCAGACGCCGCATCACTATCCGCCACACACACCCGGAGCGGCTAGCGCTACCGGCTACGGCGGAGTACACACGTATCCCAACACGCCGTATACGCCGTCTGGCCAAACTCCGTTTATGACCGCGTACCAGACGCCTCATCACACTCCGCATCATGGCCAGCCTACTCCCAGATACGGCCAACAAACCCCTAGCCATCATCAAGGGCCCTTCGTGCACCCGCCGCCGCCCTCGATGACACCCAGCCATCACAGGTCTGCTCAATCGCACAGACCTACACCACCTCTGTCCACTCCTTTCGGCGACCCGACGGATTGGAAGAAGGCCGCCGAGGATTGGGCAGCACGTATAAAAAGCGGTTCGCGAGTCTCGTAAGTGCAATAATAAATATGTATTAAATAACGATCACGTTTTCCTATTAAAAATTATTGATATTTGAAATGTTAATGTTCTTCATTCGATTATCATCAATGTGTTGAATGTGTTTTCAGCGGATCGACGCCCAGGTACGAGGAGTCTAGAAGAACTCCACGTAACTATGACGAGCCGGTCGGCAGAACAACGCCCTCCGGAAGGAGCAGACCTTCGTCTACGCGTACTCCGTCGTACAGATCTCCGCGAGGCACCCCACATACAAATTCTAGTCCACGAAGTATGTCGCTCAGCGGAGACGGTACTCCTCTGTACGACGAGAGCTAACGGGATTGTGCATAGCTGATTATATTTATTAGACAACGTCATATCACGCTATGAATGAATAATAAGAGTGCGCGTACTCTCGACGACGGGGCTTTCATCCTGAGACGTCGATTGCTAGCAAAATTGAACCGATCATTAATCGTTGCAGACATGCAACACGTAGTAAATTCTTCTACTTTTTTGCATGCGAGGTTTCGTTTGCGATCAAGAGAGGGATCGCCGATTGTAAACTACGGTGTTGTAGTGTACGATTGTAAAGTATGGTGTAATTTATTCTTTAACTATTCTTCCTATGTATATAATAAAATTTACGGAAACTTTACGAAGGCCTGAACACGCTCTGCAATCGTCTTGATTCATTTCTTTGCATACTGATGGCATCAATGAAAAGTAATTTATAAAAACTATTTATATCGAATTGTTAAATTTATTGGAATCATTTTTACTATATTGTAATAATTTTCGAAAACTTTTTATTTATTGGTTTATAATGAAAAGACATTAAATACAAGACTTATCAACTTATTGTTAGTTATTTTTTTGCGGGTATGTTGATAGGAAAATATTGAAAAAATGATTGTAACTGAATTATTGCTCAAATATATGTAAATATGTTCTACATTTTTCATTGGTGCCGTCATGCATGTTAATATAGAGAACTGATTCATCTAATTACTTATTGTATCAGCATCGGTACAACCTCTCTTGAATATTTTTTTTTTCGCGATGTACTGTCTATAATAATTGGAATACTCCATTTTTATTATACACAGTTCTTCTTCTTGTCGGTTAAGTAGCGTTAGCTCAGCGTTTAAATGCTACTTTGCATTGCGTGGGCTGGGGGTAATACGCCAGCTTTTCTTCGCTCCATGAAAATGATAGGGGCGATAGCGTTAGCTGTTCTACGCTGGCTTTACAGTGAGGTGGAGTGGGGATAAACGCTGGCTTTTCTTCGCTCGCATGAAATTTCAGCTTAACTTATTGCATTAATTCGGAAGTGCAGCGAAAATGAACAGACCTCATGGGAACGAAAACACCGATGCGGCACATGCGTATTGCGGTGACGATGGGTATTATACTTTTACGATGGGTATACTTTTAGACAGGCTCGACGTTCAATCGGCTCAAGAAGAAGAAAAAGAAGGCTCAATGCCCCTTCCAGTTACATATGTCTAAGGTTAATTGTGATTCAATGTATCAATTGATACGGCCAATTTTTAAACTTTACCGCATCCGATAAATCCTCGAAGAACTTACAGCGGCAATCGCGACGACGCGAATCGCGAATGATGTCAAGCAGAGCAGGTAAAGGACTGTCGTAAAACGAGTTAAGAGATATTCAACTATTGAAATTAAGTAAGTTTTGTTTAACAATCTCAAATGCATTATGCGTATTATGCGTGAAACGAAAAAAATGCCGTTTACGCGAAGGAAATATCGTAAGTACAGAAGTAACACTTGCGTAAACGTAGTATGTGACTCTTTTAAGGTAAACAAATGCCTCGTCATCTAATTAGTGACGCGCATGAATGGATTAACGAGATTTCCACTGTCCCTATCTATTATCTAACGAAACCAGTGCCAAGGAACTTCCTTATTTATATCTATTATTTATTTCAAACTGTAATATCCAATGTACTGAATAATGCAAAAGAAATACTAAAAATGTTGATGACAATGACTGGTTATATGACAAACACTATCTCAATGGCTGCATTCGAGGAGCGCGCTATTAGCGCTATTGCATCATTCTGTCTTTATCGCTCATCAGGTGTAAAACAAGGATAGAACAAGCAAATAGCGCTAATAGCGCGCTCCCCGAATCCAGCCTATGTGTCAAGAGCTTGTTGCTTCCAATACTACTGTGAGACTGTCATCTGCTTCAGCTGGAAGTAAGTAATATATCGATAATAGAATATATATTAAACTTCACAAATTTTTCATTTTAATTTTTTTTTATGATTCGTGTATTGTCTGCGTCATTATTTGTAATGTCTAGTCTTTACATTGGAATATATTTCAGGGAAAGAATCGGCCTTATAATTATGCTTTTATTTTTTATAACTGATTCTGATAAATCTGTAAGAAATATTTGTAAGAAAATTATCTGTAAGAAAAATAACTATTTATCTATGTCTTGTATCTAATTTATTATCAGTATATTTTTCCAATATTTTATTTTTTAAATATATTTTTACAGATTTCAAGAAGAAAGAAACTTTAAAGGTGTTATCGGTTGTATTGATTGTACATATGTGGCTATCGTGAGACCAAAAGAACATGAAGAAGCGTATGCAAATCATAAGGGTTTTATTCTATTTATGTGCAGGCAGTAAGTTGACATATTACGAATAATATTTATAAATACACGTCATTTTTACATTCAACTTTTGTAAAAAAAATTGATACATATTACATACTTTTATTTTTTATTACAGATAGCCTCCCATGATTTAGAAGTATTAAACATAAATGCCAGATTTCCTGGAACGGTGCATGATGCTTTCATTTAGAGATATTTCGCTATAAGGGATAAAATGATACGATTATATGATTTTAGAAGACCGATCAACGTGGCTGTTGGGTTAATATTATCATTGCTTATTATTTACTTTATTTAGTGACATATATATAAATATTTATATAATTTACAGGTGATGGAGGTTACTGTTTAGAACCTTGGCTAATGACACCTATCACAAATGCACCAGAGGAAAGCGCAGAAGCACGATACACATAATGTCATTGTTCTGCTAGAAATTGTGTTGAACTTCTATTCAATTATGTTAAAGGGTTGTTTCAGTCATCAGTGGATTGAGAGATATCACTTAAAAAAAAAAAACGCGTAGATAGTCATAGACTTCACGCGGGTCGATCATCGGTAAGGAGAATAACTCTAAGCAGAGCCAGCCGAAAAACCAGCTAAGAAGTGCATTTTTTGCCGAGCTCTGGATTAGATCCAACTTTATACACAATCAAAGGTTCATATACAAAGTTTACAAAAACAAAGCTTCCTCTGCGACATAGAGGCTGGAAGCTTTGTTTTTGTAAACTTTGTATATAAACCTTTGATTGCGTATAAAATTGGGTCTAATCAACTAAATTTAAAAGTAATATATATAAAATAGAGGTAGAAAAAAGTGTGCAAATTAGAAACTTGCACATTGCTTTCTCTTCATTACAGATTGCTATCATTGCTCCTATTTTATTTCGCTCATAAAGCTTTGAGAAAGCAATGAGCAGCGTTTTACAAAAACTCCCGATAAAGATTCATAAGTTTTATTACATTTTTTATTTGTCTAGTACTTTTTAATTTATCTAGTACTTGCCATTATTGTTCGTTTTTTAAAGTTCTCTAAATGTAATATGTTTCGTTATTTTGTAAATTCTTTTATGTATTAAAGTTTTCCGGAATGTTTGTTTAAAAAAGGTTCGGGCCTTATTATAATACCATATTTTAATAAAAAGCCCAAAGTAGTCTTTATTTTAAGTTGTCTATAGAATGTTTATTTGAGAAAAAATTGTTTTTCTATTTAGAATAAAGTAAACTTTAATACCTACATAACCTTTTTATTATAATTTATTAATTGACAGAAATAACTTATTTTTAAATAAGGTAGGGTTTATTTGCCTTTTAGTACGTAATAGTTCTGTAAGAAAAACTAAAAATTGAAAGTAAAATATAATAATTATTACCGTTTTTCAGCTCTCAGAGGAGAAACGCGAGGTAGCGAGGATTACCGTGCGAGCGAAAGAGGCGAAGATCTTTCGGCAGATCGAGGGCGACGATTTTGACGAAAAGGCTTTCTTCAATGATGCGCAACAAATACCATTAAAACTTGAATAAAAGGAAAAATTTAATTGCAAAAAGAAGAAAAAGATGTAGAAAATACATATAGGTATACTTTGACGGAAGAGTATTTTATACGTTTTTCTACAATAAACATCTTAATTAAAAAAAGTATTTTATATATAACAAATCAGGAAATAATATTGCAGATATACTAAAACTATACATAAGATATATAATAAATGTGTACTTACTACTAAGCCCTATTGGAGTTGATATATTTGACGTATTTGTTTTTAATGATTCTAACTTTGTTTTTAACGACGTTGTAATGTTCGTAGATGCACTATTATTAGAGGAAAGGCCAAAGCACATGACATGGCGTAGCCGATCTACGAGGATCGTAATCGTGGACGTAAGTAACGCACAAGCTTTGACATAGTGCGTTATGTCGTATGGAGGTACCAGCATGTGTATAAAGTTAGCATATCAATTGTCAGCATATAAAAAAAAAGTAAAGTTCTCTTTGCATACAACCGAGTTCTATAGTTTCTGATAAATTTTAACAATAGTTCTGGTCATTTAACATAAATAAACGAAAGTTGAGAAATGATACGTTAACTTTCCGCAAAGTCAGCATATCATATAATTTTTTCGAAATTTACTCCAATGAATTTTATAGTTTTTGACGAGTTCTATAATTATATAATATAGTTCTGACCATTAACTATCTCTAAATAATTATTAACAATTATTATCGGCATATCACTCGTACTAGAGTACGATAGTTCCGTACTGTTCTGACCACTGACTACTTTTAGAACACTTAGGATATTTTGATGTTTACAGACTGTTTCTACTATGCCATAAATCCCGCTCGCTAAAAATGCCGTATATCTGAAACAGGTGGAATATACAACATATCAAGCTGAACAAAGAATACAAGAGCTATGCCAGTGGTCAAAACTGTACGGAACTATCGTCAGGGAGTTTAGAACTATTGTTTAAAATCTCGAACGAGCCGAGAACTTGTCGCAGAAGCATAGCATATCACTCTAGTATGAGTGATATGCTGAAAAATAATTGTTAATAATTATTTAAAGGTAGCCAGTGGTCAGAACTGTACGGAACTATCGTCAGGGAGTTTAGAACTATTGTTTAAAATCTCGAACGAGCCGAGAACTTATCGCAGAAGCATAGCATATCACTCTAGTACGAGTAATATGCTGATAATAATTGTTAATAATTATTTAAAGGTAGCCAGTGGTCAGAACTGTACGGAACTATCGTCAGGGGGTTTAGAATTATTGTTTAAAATCTCAAACGAGCCGAGAACTTGTCGCAGAAGCATAGCATATCACTCTAGTACGAGTGATATGCTGATAATAATTGTTAATAATTATTTAGAGATAGTTAATAATCAGAACTATGTTATAGAACTATAGAACTCGTCAAAAACTATAAAATTCATTGGAGTAAATTTCGAAAAAATTATATGATATACTGACTTCGCGGGAAGTTAGCATATCACTTCTCAACTTCCGTTTATTTATGTTAAATGACCAGAACTATTGTTAAAATTTATCAGGAACTATAGAACTCGGTTGTATGCAAAGAGAACTCTACTTTTTTTTATATGCTGACAATTGATATGCTAACTTTGCATACATAAGATACAAGCTGTTATTGATGCTGGCATTTGCAGACGTCTCGAAGAACTTCTCATGTATATTAAAATTTATATGAGATTTATTATGTAAGATTAATTTTATGTAAATGTGGATTATAACAATTGATGAAAATGTTTTCAGGCATGAACAAAATAACGTTATAAGCGCGGCTTTTCGTGCTGTAGGTAACATAGTTACTGGAGATGATGTGCAAACGCAAGTTGTATTAAATTGCTCGGCATTACCGTGTCTATTACATCTCTTAAGTTTGCCACGGGAAAGTGTTCGTAAAGAGGCTTGCTGGACAGTCTCTAATATCACTGCCGGAAATCCTCAACAAATACAAGTACGTCTCAATCTTTCGAGCATAATAGGATAACTTTATTTATATATCATATATTAATAACTTATATTAACGTCTTTTTTATATAATTTTGCAGGCGGTGATTGATGCTAATATCTTTCCGGTTTTAATCGAGATTTTGAGTAAAGCTGAATTCAAAACACGCAAAAAAGCTGCATGGACAATTTAATGCTACTAGTGGCGGAACGGCCGACCAAATTCGATACCTCGCAATGCAAGGATGTATTCCGCCACTCTGTGACTTGGTTACTGTTATGGATGTCAAGATCGTTCAGGTCGGTTTGAACAGAATAGAGAATATTTTACGTCTGGGAGAACAAGATGCAACCATGCATAACGGTCTCAATTCTTATGCAGTTCTTATTGAGGAATGTTATGGTAAAGTATCAACTAAATACAAGTTTTATATGAAAGATATGTCGATTAATATAAATATTAACACGGTAGTAATCAATATCTCTTGTAATGTTTTAGGCCTAGACAAAATAGAATTCTTGCAATTTCATCAAAATATGGATATTTATCAAAAGGACTTCGATATTATTGAACGATTATTGGGTCTGAGGAAGAAGATACCAAACTTGTACCTTCAATCGATTCGCAAGGACAAGAATACCAGTGCAATGAAGTGCGATTAAACTGTTATGATTTTATATATATTTTACAAGCGCGTCGTATGTATAACGAATGACTTTTTCGCACTTATTCGTATCTTTCTATAATATCACACTATCAGTCTATACATATCACAGTATTCCGAAAATAAGTATCATTAGATGTAGATGAAAATAGTATTCGTAATATTATTTTATTTATACGAGTCTCGTACATACATTTACATAGTGTATCGTATAAAACATATTATATAAATAAGGACAATTAATAGCAACAATACAATAAAAGTATATCTTACTGAAATATTGACGTCTTTTATTCGTGCTATTTTATTTTATTAATTACAGTTAAGGTAGTTCGATGATAAACGACTTTTGCCAAAAGTGATAGGTTTTATTTTTTATATCGAAAGAAGGAACTCTCCTGAATCGATTAAGCCCAGAAGGAAGATAATTCACCGTCCCGTTCTCAAGATATTTAATTTCAAAATTAGGTGATTTTAACATTGGTCTAATAGGAAAAGAGATATTTTCTTATGAATAACACGAGTTTCCGAAAAATCTTTTGCCAAAAATGTCCGAACAATATATATCGATAGAAAGAGGACACTGTGAAAAAGCCTATAGTTGAAGGTGAACACGATCCACCGTACAGTTTTTTTTAAATTAATAATTAAAGTTTGGTTTCCGGTGCTCAAGCGCTGATTTTCACAACTCGAGCGTGGCGACGTGGCAACGCCGCACGCTGGGATCGTCGGCGTAAAGTTAGGTGCACGTTAGGTGTGAGTGAGCGCAAAGACAAACAAGTGTACCAACCGCACAAACTGTTTGGCGTTGCCAAGTCGCTGCCCTCATCTCGTACATGAGGAGCTCTGGTAACTTAGCCGGTCAACTTTGACTTTATTAATTTTCATATTTTTTTATCGTTTGTTGGTCGTTTGTTGGTGATTGTTGGCCTAATTATAACGTTTGTTGGTTCTTAATTTTTTTTTAAATTTAAAAAGAAAAATTAGCATTAAGTTAGCCGGAAAAATTTTATTTTTAATTTCAAAAAAGCCTAATAATCGATGCGTAATCGTTTGCTGATGATTGTTGGTCTAATTTTAGCGTTTGTTGGTTTATTATTAGTCTTAAAAACGAAAAAAAAACGAAAAATTATCTCACATATTAAAGTAATTGAAGATTG